CCTGCTGAAGGCTGGAGCTGATCTGAGGAAGGACAAAAGGTGGCAGCAGACGTGGTCTACTATTAGTCAGTGTGCTTTTCCTACCAGATGAGCATGTGAGATGTTTTATCCCGGAGACTGTATTTTTCCGTTTCGTTACATGCACTTCAGACTGAGATATTGAGCCAGAATTGGGTCTGTCCTCCAGCTGGTTTGCATTGCCAAGCACTGTAACGAAAAGTCACTGCGCACTTTGTAAAATGCATCTAGGTAATCAGATATTTTGCCAAGAAATATTACTTGTAGGTTTCCTGTTGGGCAAACTCTCTCTCTGTCTCTCTGCTATCTCCATTTGAAAGGAGAGTGTTTTGTCAAAAGGAAACAAGGACACCCCAACGAGTGGAGAAAGTGGGCTGCTGTAGTTACTCTGAGATGCAGAGCAGCGCGATGCAGGGACACCAAGAAACTCCGCAAACCCCCAGGACACTGGAGCTAGCCAAGCTGCTTCGTCTCTGAGTTGCAAACCACCCCCAGCTCTACCACGTACCCTCTACCACTTACACGTGTAAGATGCTGAAGGACCTAGTAGATAATGGAGAAAATGACTTCTTCTCTGAATGTCAAGTTCCCCACTCCACTTCCCTGCCGGCTTTTCTGCCCTGTCAAGGCAAAGTGCTGGTACAAAACAGGTGGTGGGGAAGTGGGTGGCCCGGCTGAGCACCCGAAGGAAGCTGTGAAAGTGGCTAGACGCAAGTTGTGTCAAGTGCAGCAAGTGTGTAGATGGGAATATTAAAGGAACATTTTAATTGCTCTCAACTACAGTACTTTTTAGTGCTGTTTGCTTAAAAGACCATTCAGACAGAAGTGAGCTACTTAACCAGGTGATGTCCTTTTGGTGCAGTTTGACATAGACGCTAACCATATTGAGAGTGGGGTCAGATCATTCATCAGAGAATTTATTTAGTGATTTATGTTCTACATCTCTGCTAGCCATGGATCCCCTTTTACATATTAAAAGAGTATTTGCACAACACACCTGAAGGAAAGGATCTTTTAATCTTACTGTGCAGGGGGACAAAGTAAGGTGCTGGCAAAGTGACTTATAGAAGTTGCTTCAGGAAATCTCTGCCAGGACTAGGAGCTGAGTGGTCCCCAGCATGGTGTATTAGCCAGCAGACCTTCGCTAAGTGCTTCATCTAAAGCCCATCACTGTTAATGGGATTGCTAAAGAAGTTAGTCCTGATATTTAACAAAGTAGAGGTGTGCAGGTGAGTAAAAATACTTGGGTTAGTGTGGCTTGGTAAGTTCCCATTTGTCAGGTTGACCGCTCTGGGCAGGCATCTTGCCTACTGTGAAGTGAAATGGGTTTGCTTAAACCACATTTGTATTTTACTTTGCATTAATTATGGGTATTTTATGTAAGCATGCTTTATTTTGTACTCCCAGCAGTCCAGGAACAATTCATGTGGTTATTTAATGTAGTTCCCCTCATTATGTTCCAGTTGTATTACACCACTTGAGAATTTTCTGGACATACCCTGATAATACGTACCAGGTCTGGTGTATTTAGGTCATTTCTCGGAAGAAAACTCTCAGTTAAACTGCTAGAAGTCCACTATCTTATTGTTTTGTGCCATTATTAGGATCCTGACTTCAAGCCCCCAGTCTCTGAAATGTATTCTCATGTACTTGTGAAAGGCCAATACTTTGTTTAATTAGTGTTATTTATGCTTATTTCAGAGGAGCCCACGAATGAGGTATAAGACTATAGCCAGTTATATAGTTATGCCAGTTATTAGTTATAAGAACCACCTCAAAATAGCAAAGTGCACTCTTGAAAACCAGTAGCAGAAAAGAACCCAAATAAAAGCTCAGTACGTGGTTTTGTATCTTCTGTCATGTTAATAAAGCTGCAAGAGCCATTTTAGTGCAGTAGCAGACTGCAAGAGGGCCATGGGACCAAGTGGTTTTTCTAATCGCCTTTGCACCATGAGATTTCTGTTTGCTAGAAATTGCTTTCTTTTTTGTTTAACAGTGATGCAGTTTGGAAAAGGAAAGTCCTGTTACTATCGGTTCCTGACCAAAGGCCAGCAGTGGATATGGCTGCAGACACACTACTACATCACCTACCACCAGTGGAACTCCAAACCCGAGTTCATCGTTTGCACGCACCTGGTAGTTAGGTAGGAGCAAGCACCAGCCCTTCACAATGTATGTCCCATGTGCTCATCCATTATTTTTTCTAGTTCCGTTTTGTGTTAGCCACATATTTGCTGTGCATATTGACACGCTAAGATGGTATGTAATTCTATAAAACTATTGTGACAGGGAACATGGGGAAAAGCATAATGTGTTTTCATTACTCTCTTCTTTTTTTGGCAACCGGGCCAAAAGCCTGGAAGCCACCGTTGGCCAAGTCTGTCAGTGTGTTACATTCCGCTTTTATCCCTAGCGACAACACGGCCATAGGAAGAATTAAAGCTGTTAAGAATCAGACGGCTTTATGGGCATGAATGGGATCATACATCTCCTACAAAACCTTTTGATCAGAGCTTTAAATATTTATGACTTGAAGTGAGCTGCTGTCCTGCTGGCCTTGTTCCTCCCCTGAAACTCAGCCCAGGATCCCCCCCTAGTGGGAAGCTGCTTTGCAGAGCCGTGCTGGGAGGCCCTGCAAGCGTGGGATGCTGGGGACACCCGCCTTCTGGGGGGGAATCTGCTTGATCGCCACTGTCATCTGAGAAGAGATTGTGTTAAGACTGAGAATATCATCACTGAAGGGCTTGAAAAATAGTGACGTACTGGTTTGCTCTATTAACTTGAGTAAACATATTGCTCATTGCGTCTTTCTTTACTGTCAGGGATCTGTGAATTTTTTTCTGGTCCCCCGTTTTCTTGTCAAACGTCTGGAAGAACAAACACTAGTAAACTGGGGTATTCTGAAACACGGGCTGAGAACACCTTACACCACTAAGCAGGTGTAAGTGATTAGAGCTGTGTGTGCTGCTATAAAGTACCTGTGAAGTGTTATCGTAAGCAAATGTTAGACAGAGGGATTGCTTCTGAGTTGTGTTGCTTCTGCCATCCTTCGGGGAATTCAGCTTCACTTTAAGCTCTGAATTTATTGTGCATGAACTTGTTTCTTCTTTCTGTTTCCAGTACCTCTTAAACCTAGTGATATAGTCCTAAATAGATTTTGAAATTCAGTTCTGTCTCATATAATTAAGGTTTAGAATATATTATCGAAACACACAAGTTAAAACGTGATTTCAGGAAAACTCATTGCCTATAATGATATAAGTGAGTTCAGTTCAGCAACTTCTCTTGCCTCCCACAAAGGTTATGGCCCATTAATATTTCAGCACCCTAAATTCTGGCACCTTTCAGTGCCCATGACCCACAAGCACTCGGAGAGTCTTTAAAACATCCTCGCCAATTTATCGTAGAATCATAGAATCGTTAAGGTTGGAAAAGACCCTTAAAGATCATCGAGTCCAACCGTTAACGTAGCACTGCCAAGTCCACCACTAAACCATGTCCCTAAGCACCATGCCTACCCGTCTTTTAAATACCTCCAGGGATGGGGACTCAACCACTTCCCTGGGCAGCCTGTTCCAGTGCCTGACTACCCTTTCACTGAAGAAGTTTTTCTTAATATCCAACCTAAATCTCCCCTGGCGCAGCTTGAGGCCGTTTCCTCTCATCCTATCACTTGTTACTTGGGAGAAGAGACTGACCCCCACATCGCTACAACCTCCTTTCAGGCAGTTGTAGAGAGCGATAAGGTCTCCCCTCAGCCTCCTCTCCTCCAGGGTAAACAACCCCAGCTCCCTCAGCCGCTCCTCATAAGGCTTGTGGACTAGACCCTTGCCCTTCTTGCGACACGCTCCCAC